CCCCACTAGGAAAAAACAGATATTAAACAAACTTCTTCAGGACATGCATTAATGCACAATGTGAACAGGGTTTTTTTTGCTCAAGGGGAACGGGTGGCTTCCGGCAATGTCAGCTGCAAAACAGCTACAAGGCAGCTACAAAACAAAGCTGGAGGAGTGTGATTGGTGGTTCTCCTCAATGTCTTCCTACTAAAAGAAAGCAGATATTAAACAAACTCATTCAGGACATGCATTAATGCACAATGTGAACAGGGTTTTTTTTGCTCAAGGGGAAGGGGTGGCTTTCGGCAATCTCAGCTGCAAAACAGCTACAAGTCAGCTACAGAACAAAGCTGGAGGAGTGTGTGGTGGTACTCCCCAATGCCTCTCCAATAGGAAAAAAACAGATATTAAACAAACTTCTTCAGGACATGCATTAATGCACGATGTGAACAGCGCCTCTTTGCTCAAGGGGAGGGGTGGCTTCCGGCAATATCAGCTGCAAAACAGCTACAAGGCAGCTACAAAACAAAGCTGGAGGAGTGTGTGGTGGTTCTCCCCAATGGCTTACCACTAAAAGGAAGCAGATATTAAACAAACTTCTTTAGGACATGCATTAATGCAGAATGTGAACAGGGTTTTTTTTGCTCAAGGGGAAGGGGCAGCTTCCGGCAATATCAGCTGCAAAACAGCTGCAAGGCAGCTACAAAACGAAGCTGGAGGAGTGTGTGGTGGTTCTCTCCAATGCCTCCCCACTAGGAAAAAACAGATATTAAACAAACTTCTTCAGGACATGCATTAATGCACAATGTGAACAGGGTTTTTTTTGCTCAAGGGGAAGGTGTAGCTTCCGGCAATATCAGCTGCAAAACAGCTATAAGGCAGCTACAAAACAAAGCTGGGGGAGTGTGTGGTGGTTAACCCCAATGCCTCCCCACTAGGAAAAAAACGGTATTAAACAAACTTCTTCAGGACATGCATTAATGCACAATGTGAACAGGGTTTTTTGCTCAAGGGGAAGGGGTGGCTTTCGGCAATCTCAGCTGCAAAACAGCTACAAGTCAGCTACAAAACAAAGCTGGAGGAGTGTGTGGTGGTTCTCCCCAATGTCTTCCCACTAGGAAAAAACAGATATTAAACAAACTTCTTCAGGGCAAGCATTAATGCACGATGTGAACAGGGTTCTTTTTTGCTCAAGGGGAAGGGTTGGCTTCCGGCAATATCAGCTGCAAAACAGCTACAAGGCAGCTACAAAACAAAGCTGGAGGTGTGTATGGTGGTTCTCCCCAATGCCTCTCCACTAGGAAAAAACAGATATTAAACAAACTTCTTCAGGACATGCATTAATGCACGATGTGGACAGGGTTTTTTTTGCTCAAGGGGAAGGGGTAGCTTCCGGCAATATCAGCTGTAAAACAGCTACAAGGCAGCTACAAAACAAAGCTGGAGGTGTGTATGGTGGTCCTCCCCAATGCCTTACCACTAAAAGGAAGCAGATATTAAACAAACTTCTTTAGGACATGCATTAATGCACAATGTGAACAGGGTTTTTTTTGCTCAAGGGGAAGGGGTGGCTTCCAGCAATATCAACGGCAAAACAGCTACAAGGCAGCTACAAAACAAAGCTGGAGGAGTGTGTGGTGGTTTTCCCCAATGCCTCCCCACTAGGAAAAAACAGATATTAAACAAACTTCTTCAGGACATGCATTAATGCACAATGTGAACAGGGTTTTTTTTGCTCAAGGGGAAGGGGTGGCTTCCAGCAATATCAACTGCAAAACAGCTACAAGGCAGCTACAAAACAAAGCTGGAGGAGTGTGTGGTGGTTCTCCCCAATGCCTTACCACTAAAAGGAAGCAGATATTAAACAAACTCATTCAGGACATGCATTAATGCACGATGTGGACAGGGTTGTTTTTTGCTCAAGGGGAAGGGGCAGCTTCCGGTAATATCAGCTGCAAGACAGCTACAACGCAGCTACAAAACAAAGCTGGAGGAGTGTGTGGTGGTTCTCCCCAATGCCTCCCCACTAGGAAAAAACAGATATTAAACAAACTTCTTCAGGACATACATTAATGCACAATGTGAACAAGGTTTTTTTTTTGCTCAAGGGGAAGGGGTGCCTTCCAGCAATATCAGCTGCAAAACAACTGCAAGGCAGCTACAAAACAAAGCTGGAGGAGTGTGTGGTGTTTCTCCCCAATGCCTCCCCACTAGGAAAAAACAGATATTAAACAAACTTCTTCAGGACATGCATTAATGCACAATGTGAACAGGGTTTTTTTGCTCAAGGGGAAGGGGTGGCTTCCGGCAATATCAACTGCAAAACAGCTACAAGGCAGCTACAAAACAAAGCTGGAGGAGTGTGATTGGTGGTTCTCCTCAATGTCTTCCTACTAAAAGAAAGCAGATATTAAACAAACTCATTCAGGACATGCATTAATGCACGATGTGAACAGGGTTTTTTTGCTCAAGTTACGGGGTGGCTTCCAGCAATATCAGCTGCAAAACAGCTGCAAGGCAGCTACAAAACAAAGCTGGAGGAGTGTGTGGTGGTTCTCCCCAATGCCTCCCCACTAGGAAAAAACAGATATTAAACAAACTTCTTCAGGACATGCATTAATGCACGATGTGAACAGGGTTTCTTTGTGCTCAAGAGGAAGGGGCGGCTTCCGGCAATATCAGTTGCAAAACAGCTACAAGGCAGCTACAAAACAAAGCTGGAGGAGTGTGTGGTGGTTCTCCCGAATGCCTTCCCACTAAAAGGAAGCAGATATTAAACGAACTTCTTTAGGACATGCATTAATGCACCATGTAAACAGGGTTCTTTTTTGCTCAAGGGGAAGGGGTGGCTTCCGGCAATCTCAGCTGCAAAACAGCTACAAGTCAGCTACAAAACAAAGCTGGAGGAGTGTGATTGGTGGTTCTCCTCAATGTCTTCCAACTAAAAGAAAGCAGACATTAAACAAACTCATTCAGGGCATGCATTAATGCACGATGTGAACAGGGTTCTTTTTGCTCAAGGGGAAGGGGTGGCTTCCGGCAATCTCAGCTGCAAAACAGCTACAAGTCAGCTACAAAACAAAGCTGGAGGAGTGTGATTGGTGGTTCTCCTCAATGGCTTCCCACTAAAAGAAAGCAGATATTAAACAAACTCATTCAGGACATGCATTAATGCACGATGTGAACAGGGTTTTTTTGCTCAAGGGGAAGGGGTGGCTTTCGGCAATCTCAGCTGCAAAACAGCTACAATTCAGCTACAAAACAAAGCTGGAGGAGTGTGATTGGTGGTTCTCCCCAATGTGTTTCCACTAAAAGAAAGCAGATATTAAACAAACTCATTTAGGACATGCATTAATGCACGATGTGAACAGGGTTTTTTTGCTCAAGGGAAAGGGGTGGCTTCCGGCAATATCAGCTGCAAAACAGCTGCAAGGCAGCTACAAGACAAAGCTGGAGGACTTTGTGGTGGTTCTCTTCAATGCCTTCCTACGCTAAAGGTTAAAATCCTTTAGAAAATGGACGGGGTAGCACCCAAACCAAAACAACAGAACGTATAAAGGGGCACTGCTCTACAAACTGGTGTTTGGCAAGTGATATTACAGAATCTGGAAGTTAAACAAACGGCACCGACACCACAATCTCAGGAGGAAAGTGACTGACACGAAACACCTAACTTTATAAAGGAACGTTCAATGAGTGGCCTTGAAGAAGATGTGTTCGATAGGAAACCAAACAGTGGAGAAAAAACCACAGAGTTTTTTGCTGATTGCCAATGCGCGGACCCTAGAAAACCAACTACAAGGGACCAACGATATTTTATGAGGGAATATCTGTGATAGTCGTTAGTAATGCTATAACATTACTGTCCAAAAGATTTCAACACAATATTGAATCACTGAGAAAGAAAGATATAATACGTGTGAAATTATACAATCAATAAAGAATGAAATTTACCGAAAGAAAATCATTGAAAGGGGTTTGGCCTAGGAATGGGCGCTCTACCATTAATAAAAAAAAATTCAGATTACTAGTAAGTGATCGAAATAGTAAAAAAAAGGTTACGTGATTTTGGCACGTGACAATATTCACTGAATTCAAATAAAAAACATTTATCACGCACCAGCTAACCTTTTACTTGAAACGTTTATACAGAAAAACAAAATAGAACACGAATACGTTCAGTTCTTCAGATAAGCCTCTCACAAGACTTCCGTTCTAACAAAAACAATCTAAGATGACAGCTAGTGACATCTCTATTTCATCGTTCGAACTACATACATTAATTTTATATAGTTATTGTGCTCTGTAAATCAAAAGGACATAATATCTTAGTTGCTATTGAGAAAGTAGCAAAAAATTGACACCGCAATGTTAACTAGATCTGAGTTCGATTTATATGATGCCTCATGCATGTCCAAAGAATCGAAAGACAGAGTTAGCTGCGTGACATCTGCATACGTTCGAATATTACAGTGCTGAAGGCAAGTATGTAGATCAAAAACATAAACTAAGTAGAGTAATGGTCCCAACACAGAGCCTTGAGGTACGCCAGATGCAACAATCTTTGCCGAAGAAAAGTTATCAAACACTTCATATTTTCCATATGAAAATCTAAGGTGTGACGCAATATCTTATTGTTGGATCACCCTGTATTGTACGGATATAGACCAAAATACGCCCCCTAGAACTCAAAATTGACGCGTCCGAGCGTTTTTCCCAAAATATACCAGGAGAGTCACAAATGGGTGTGCGACCTTTTCCTTTGGCGACGCTGTGTATAGAATAAAGGTTTCGAGTCCACTGACTGCTTTCTCAGTGTTAAGTCTCAATCGCGAAGTGTCCGGACAACTTTTGAACGTTAGTATATGCGGAGAATCAACGCAACCACCTACCTGATCAGTATTTATAAATCGCAACGTATCCGCGCATTCATCCCGCGAAATTGCTTGACGTCACCACCGCCGCTATCGCGTCATTCGCTGCAGAGCCCGCTTATTTTTTCGATATTTTTGTTGCAGCGACCCTGCGGTGCACGCATTGCAATTCCTGGACGTGATCAACATGAAAGACCCCACGCAGAAGGCGCATTTTTACAGGAACACGCTCAAGGAGTCGCTGCCGTTTATACCGAAGGTGAGTGAAGAAAAGGATGCTTTTAATCTTCCGAGAAATCGTATACCGTTTGAAAGGTAGTTGCGATAGAAATAGATCTGTGTGAGGGTTACCAGGTTTGTCGCTTTTTGATATGCTTTGGCAATTATGCGACAATATATTTAAGGTTTGAATGCTTTTGGTATGCGTTTTGGTTATTAACCCTCAAGTACGCACTTTTCTGTCTGACCATAACTATGATCTGCCTTGTGTTTCAAGGTCAACCGTACACTTACTTTTTTTAGTACACCAATGCTTGATCAGTACACAAATTGCAATAGTCGGAGCCGGTTGTATTTATTTTTTAGTGGTTGCAAAAGATCGCCATAGGTCTGGCAGTCGTCACGTTAATACTTGTGCGATCATTTTATATCCAATGGACCCTCAACCAAGTTGTTTCCAATCAGTGTCTTTTGGTGACCCTATTTATTAAGAAGCAGCTTCCATGCACCAGTCAAGATATCAAGATCCAGAAAATTAAAGAAAACAGAAATCATATCGTATTATAATTGTACTGAAGGTGGGGTAGAAGCGTTAGATGAAAAATGTTCGAAAATTTGATGCAGTCGTCGCACACGCAGGTGGCATATATTTTTCAGGATTCTTGATATTAGTACATCCCCCGATAGCACTAAATATCTCTAAAAAATGTTTGTTAAATACTTCTAGCGACAGATTTTTTAATATTTAATAAATACATTTCTTATATATTTATAAAATATTTAGAAAATAATGAGGAAATATACTAAGTGACATATAAATCCGAACACCCAGTTTAAATAGTTTTATTTTAATAAAATTTTGTATAAGTACTTAATGAAGCATAATAAGTAAATGATAAAAATTTCAAAATGATTGCACTGCTTTAAAGCCCTTTGACCTTTAATAATGTGTGGATGCACCCTGATGTGCTACGCATTCTCCAACGCGCTTAGGCATGCTTCTGATCAGGTGGTCAATGTCCTCCTGTGGTATCTCATTCCAGGCAACCACCAACTCCTCTCGAAGTGCTTCTACAGTCTGAGGAGGACGTTGCAAATTGAGCAATCTCCTACCCATCATGTGGGAACACGTGCTCAATTGGGGATAAGTCGGGAGATCTTGGTGGCCATGGTAACAATGTGACATCATTATGTTGAAAGAAGTCTATTGTGACTCTTGCAACATGTGGTCGGGCATTATCTTGTTGGAAAGTTGGATCTGCCAGGGTGTCAAGATAGGGTAAAAGATGGGGTTCTAGAACTTCGTGGATATAACGCTGCGCATTCATGTTACCTCTGATGAAGATTAAAGGTGACCACGTCGCCTTCTAACCCTGGCACGACCATCGTGCATGCCTAAACAAAATCGAGACTCGTCACTAAAGACAATACTGTTCCATTCCTGATCCCAGAGTGACCGTTGTCTGCACCACTCAAGGCGATTACGTCGGTGTTCTCGAGTTAAAGGGAGGACCCAGTGTGGCCGGTATGAAAACAAGCCAAAACTTCTCATTCGTCGGTAAACACTTCGCATGCCAATAGGTCTTCCGTGTTCTGCAAACCATTCATTTGCAACGGACCTGGTAGTGGAGAAACGGTCCCTTGAGGCCAATAATCTTAGGCGGCGATCTTCACGGTCTGCTGTTCTACGGCGGCGTCCAGTGCTCCTTGCTCTTTACGTACGGCCTTCTCGAAGCCATGCCTGACAACACCTAACCACAGTGTCTACACTTCTTTGCACTCTAACTGCAATTGCCCGAAAAGAAAGTCCAGCTTCCCGAAGTCCCACTATACGGCCCCTATCAAACTCACTAAGTTGATGAAATCGTACAGGTCTCCGTACTCTAGGCATCGTAACCGATCGTAAAGGATGTCAAGAACCAAAATCCGCCAACGTTCATTCTTTACTGCGGCTGAAATATTCATTTTTAGAGCGTTAGTGAATTATAAAAAAGCAGTATAAAAACCGGAATGTCCAACTGATACGGCTGAAAATTTTTTCACTTGTTATTTACAGTCAGATAAATACATTCACCAACTTTTATTAAAATAAAACCATTTAAACTGCAACCGCATGGTTAAATAATCATTTTAGACAACAACAGATTAGCAGAAACGGACCCGTACATTGGCCTGCGAGGTCTTATGATTTGAACCCCCTGGATTTCTTTTCATGGGGCCCTTTTAAACAACTAGTGTATGCTGAACAAATTAATACTGTTGATCGGTTACAACAAAGAATAGATAGTGCATTTCATCACATTCAAGCCACAACAATTTTGCGCAGATACGTTGATCTCTATTACAAAGATGCCGGTCTTTTTGAACATTCATTGAAGTAAAGCTTTGAGTATCTAATTTGTTTTTTGTTTACTATTTTTATTTGGAAAAATAATGCCATAAATCCCAGGTATCTCTGCCACTAGTGCACGTGCATTTTAAGGAAAGACTTTTAAATGTGGACAATACTTAGATAAATCCACGTATCAAACTTTTTTTCATTCCAGATATAAAAGAAGTTTTGAACATATAAAAAAATAGTTTTTTTTTTATTTTTAAACTTCAACACCCCGTATCTGTAAATGTTACCCAGAAGATGCCCCTTCTGCCGTCCTGTGTATGGTGCTTCACTTTTGGTGACTAGTGTATCACCCCGTTTTATTCTTTACAAATTCTATTCGTACTTATTCTTAAGGATTAGACAAAAAAGCAGAATAGTCTCCATTCACATGATGCAAATCTTTCAGCGGAGTCGGTGGAGCGTAATAGAACGCTCCACATAATCGGATGGCCGAGTGTTATCGATCTCTTCAAGAGCGACAATGTATTATGGTTTTATTGGTTCGGAGTTGTTTACATCTGGTATACGTTATGTTTATCAAAGAAGAAGCATGTCGAGACTTTTACGATGCGTCGACGGGGGAAGGCAGCTTAGTAGGTACTCGGCAACCAGCATCGAGGCGGTTAGCGAGGCCTTATCTGAGCTTTCTAATTAATGAAGTTCCTGATAGATTTACTAACTGACGCATTTTAACGGTGTATAATACAGTTTTACTTATCGATTGACATTCCTGAACCCAATTTAAGTAGAAAGGGCCATATGAATAGATATTCGAAAAGTCTGGTCCTAAAGATTGAGGGTGTCAACATTTATTGATATATTAAGGGCCGATTTCACAATTTAACAAACGATTATTCTGCATCAATAGGGTACAAGTCAAATAGACCCAATCAGCCTCAAGATCTCTCCGTCAAATTTTTGGCAGCAATTAGCATCAAAGTATTCAAAACAAAACACTGTAAAATATGAAATGTTTCCAGTTTATTAAATATTATGAAATTGTATAAAACTGAGCCAAAATTTAGAAAAAATGCTTGATGTCTGGGTAAAATCCATTTTTTTCAGTTCAGCTAAAGGTTTCTCCATGTTTATTGCAACTTTTATGATCCACATGTGAATATATTAACTGAACATCACCTACTGTGTGTCGATAGTTTATCCTACATTTGCTAACTTACACTTTCAAACCCTTACATGAAAAAGCCTTTTCAGACAAATTTTAGTTAGGTGTTTCGTCTCAACACATTCATACACTTCTTTCCAATTCCTCAACGATATTCTGACACCACTGGTCCGAAACTATTTAGGATTTCAAGATTCATACATTCAATTGCAGTTGTAGTTTTTTGTTTGGATTTCAGTGTAAAAAAAGTCGCACCATCGGTGATAGTACATGGTACACTCAACATAACCACGTATTTGGGGGTTAGTGCAGATTTAACGTATACACGACAGTGTAATATGTAATTCTGCACAAAAAAGATCTTGGAGGGAGCACTTTTTATACGGAAAATCCGTTTATCATAAATAACAAAAGCTTAAAACAACAAAACATAGACTACAGTAACGTTGGAGAAGGAGAATAGACCAAAGAAGAATTGACATTTGACATTAATGTCTCACAATGTTAGTGATGGGTGAAAAAAGCAGGAATGTCCAACTGATAAGGCTGAAAATTTTTTCACTTGTTATTTACAGTAAGACAAATACATTCACCAACTTTTATTAAAATAAAACCATTTAAACTGGGTGTTCGGATTTATATGTCACTTAGTATAACTGTCTTTGTCGCTAGCCTGTACGATGGATAGGCTACTAGATAGAAGCATTGTATTCTGTGCATCCTGTCCCATAATCCGTTCTGCGTCCAGCCCACGTTTTCGCCCACGGGCAAAATAGAAACGATCCTCTATACCCCGATACAAGCGATGAATGAATGAATTTATATTGTCGTTGTCCGCAAAAAGCGCCGGCAGAAGCTCCGAGAGCTATTACGGCTTAAAGCAGTGTGTCGAATAAGAATGAGTCCGGGCTTTGTCGCCGAGGACGACGCATGAGATACGCCTCGATATTGCTTCCGACATAGTTTACGGACCGCCGATAGGCCCGTCACTGTTAAAAAAATCGCCAATATTTATCTTTTTCACAGAAACTATGGTACCAACATGTGTGGCCCTCGCTGCAGCAAGAGATGAGGTCGCAGGAGGTTTTGGCAGCCGTTTTACAGCCTGTCATATACCTGATACAGGAGTCAACTAATGAAGAGTACGAAACTATCATTCTTCCGTCCTTCAGGTAATAAAAAAGTATATTTCTCTTACTGATAGTAGCGATAAAATACGAGAGATGTCTTTAACTTAAAGTCAAAGTTTCACAACGATACGTGCAGTGTTCTCACTACAGTGAATTTTTAAGTGTCGCCAAGTCATTAGTAAAATGGAGCTCGACCGAGAACATTTTCGCGCCATAATTTATTACAACTCTGCCTTGCTGAGTTACTGTCTGTTTTCGGCAACGAAGCGCCACATCAGTCGACAATTTTTTTTTATTTAGTTTCCGCTATGTTGATCAATATGAAGTGCTCAATGTCATATCTTCTATAAAGTCTGATGCATCGGGTTGTGATGGTGTTAGTCGCAGAATGATAAATTTCTGCCTATCCGAAATTTTAAACATTATTACGCATATTGTTAATGTTCCCCTGGATACGGGAACTTTCCCCATCTGCTGGAAGGACGCTTACGGATGACATCTTCAAAAATGTGGACGATCAGTTGGTAACGGCTCTGATTCTGCTGGACTTCTCTAAGGCTTTGACATGGTATTCTCCTGAGTAAGCTGCGATCTTATGGCCTTTCTGACAAGCCACTACGTTTCTTCGACTCACATTTGAACAACCGTACTCAGAAAGTCAAAACATGTAAGGGCGTTTCATCTCCGGAAAATGGCGTTCCTCAAGGCTCCGTGTTGGGACCGTTGCTCTATATAGTTTACACGTTTGATTTACATGCTTGTCTTCAACGCTCCAATATTCAAACTTACGCTGAGGACGCTCAGCTAACTATGTCATTTGATTCAAGAGTCAAACTGAACGTAGATATGATCAACATTGATAATTACTGTAAGAGACATTGTTTAAAGATCAATGCTACAAAATGTTGTGCTATGCTGTTTGGATCAAAGCAATTATTACAACGTTCAGAGGCGACAATTGTCCTTAATCTTAATAACAGCTATATTCCCATTGTGGACCGTGCAAAAAATGTACTAGTCGTTATCGCTTCAAAGTTGAGGTTTAAGCAACATGTTACAAATGTATCTAGATTAACATACATGCGTTTAGAGATTCTATATTCGAACCGGTGTTTTTTGAACTTGAAGACTCGCAAAAAGCTAACTGAAACTTTGATAATGTCACTAATAGATTATTGAATTGTAGTTTACTTTCCTTGTCTGGATTATACCGGGTGACTTCGAAGTTGAGTCATTTATTTTAACAGTGAGTAAATCTGATCAAAAGAAATGTTTTTTTCTTTACCATTTTTCTGGTAAAATTAAAGTAACAAAGTTATAGCCCGTTGGAAGTTTGAGTACCGCCCTGTCTCAATAATAATGTTATGTGCTCGTGTTTGGCGACAACGGATATAATTCGCCTTATCGGTTCATCGCATCGGAAACAAAAAAGCGAAAGAATTTGGAACGATGTTTTTACAATTATTTCATTCAGTTGTATACAGTTAGTGTCAGTCGGTAGTGGATAGTGGTATCTGTTGCGTGGCTCAAACGAAATAAAAAATGGCACATGTTTATGCGGATCGGTTTCCCAATCGAGTGCAACCAACCCCTCGTGCGTTTGTTAATGTAGTACAACGGGTTCGTGAATCATTTGACTTAAGACCTCACATATGGACGGCATGCCGGTGCTCCAAGACCTCACGATCAAATACAGGTCCGCACTGAAATACTTGTCGGGAGGATTTTTTTTTAATTTTTTTTTTATTTTTACACACATATTTTGGTTTATCTTCCTTCTACAATCATTATCTGAAAATTAATGACTCAACTTCAAAGTCACCCTGTAGATATAGATTAAAAAAATCAGTGAGTTGAGATGGTTGAAGATAAACCAGCTTTTTACATATCATCTGCTCATCTTAGTTTAAAAAATCAGATACAACAAGGTACCTACTTATCTTCGAAAAAAGCTTGTACCACGTGGTGATCTTAATGCGAGAAATCTCAGGTGTAACACCGACTTCAACATACCTAGTCAAAAACTAACATTTTCCATCGTAGCTTTACTTATAATGCAGTAAAAGCGTGTAATGCTCTTAATGATGCGCACAAGGGTTTACAGTCAAGAAAACCACCGAGAACCATCTTTTGGGATCTGCTAGTCAAGCTAGTCAATAAAGTTTGTATTTTAATGCAATTCTGGATATCAGAATAAAGTTGGGTGATATACAGGGTGTCCGCAAAGTTGGGGTTTTCCGTTGAAATAACGAAGGTAATGTGTAGTGAAACGGGGCGCCCAAGTAAAAAAAAATAAAGGAAAAAGTACTCACTCTTCAGTTGACGAGAAGGGCTAAGTACGTCTCTGCTCGAAATCATACCGCTCCAACAGAAAATGAAATCAGCTGATGCGCTACCGAGCAGACGCAGGCGGTGGTGCAGACCACGAACAGAGGTAACAAATATGACGGCGTTGCCGCGTTTTCAGTTATTAGGTAAACGTACTTTATAGGTATCGTTCGAAGTTATCGCCGTTTGATTCAAAAACACATGTGCGTGCACGACGTAGCCAAGCATCGGTGCAGGCTTTGAGAATGGAGTCCCTCCGCCGAATGAAAGCACCAGCTTGTTCAATTCTGAGACGAAGTTCGTCAACCGTATGCACTTCAGTTTTGTACACTAAGCGTTTCATTTCTCCCCAAAGAAGAAAATCACATGGTGTTAAGTCTGGAGATCGCGGAGGCCACGCTACGGGTCCATTACGTCCGATCCACCTATTCGGAAATAATTCATTCAAAAACTCACTCAATTCGCATCTAAAATGGGGCGGTGCACCATCGTGCAGAAACCACATTGATTGTCTTACACTTAATGGCACATCTTCTAACAAGGAAGGCAAAATGTTGCGTAAAAAGTCTAGGTATTGCATCCCGTCCAATCGATTTGGGAGAATAAATGGTCCAATGCGCATACCGTTCACCATGTCAGCCCACACATTCACCGAAAATGTTTGTTGAAAATGTGCCCGACGGACAGCGTGCGGATTTTCTACTGACCAAACATGAGTGTTGCGAAAGTTATTCACCCCATTACGCGTGAACGTAGATTCGTCTGTCACCAATATGGACTTCAAAAAGTCCGGATTATTGTCACGTTGATGCAACGACCACTCGCAAAACCGCACTCTTGCTGGAAAATCGTCAGGTTGAAGGGTTTGTACACGTTGGACGTGAAACGGATACAGCCCCTCTCCACGCAGCGTTTGCCACACTTTAGTTTTTGATACTTGCACTTCTCTAGCCACGTCTCTAGTACTTGTTGAGGGATTCTCGTCTACGCGATTACCTGTACACGCGTGACCGTAAACGTCAGTTGAAGGTTGCATACTGACCTGACACACTGACCCCGATCCCCGACCCAGTTCTGTCGTCGGGTTCAGCTAGTAGCCGGTACCAGTCTGAGATATCGCGGCGGGTCTTGGCTACAGGCCGGTATTCAGATATTTTTGATGTTGCAGAGCCCTTTATCTCGGTTCCCTTAAGGCATTGGTGCATATAGTACTAAGAAAAATTGCTTATGTTTTCAAGATCTACACGTCGTGTAAAGGAAAACCCCAACTTTGCGGACACCCTGAATTAGCATATTGCTTTGTTCATTTATTTTTTTATCAATAGACCAGACCGTATTTTTTTCTCTGTATCAGATTATACACAGTCTTGTTTTCATGCAGCTTATCTTTAAGACTTACCTTCCTAGTTGATATGATTGTTAGCTTCTTTAAGTGTATGTTAATGAGTTATTACTTTTTGTTATATCGTTTTTTTGTGTTCATTTTTCTACGCTGTAAGGTTAAGTGGTAAAGTAAACGGTAAGTAAACTTCGCCGTACAGTGTGGATCTATCAATAAAGGCATTATTATTATCTCCGGACCAAGTCCTTTAGATTACTTTCTTTGGGGGGAATTTGAAGAGTGAAGTTTTTAGTACGAAGACAGATTCCGTTGAAGCGAATTACGGCTGAATGTAGACAAACAACTCATGCTTGAAAATGTGAGGAATAGATTCTAACAAAATCTTTATTATTGCATGAACATAAATGGACACCGCTCATTACCACATTGACCGACCTCTTTATAGCAAATTAATTTTTACTTTACTTGCGTGTAAACTGTAAGTTGCTTTTTTTTTAATATTCGAAGATTTGTTTTTAGTTTTAAAGTCTTGTTACTACGGGAACTGTATTGATTATTATTTTTACGATATAATCCCTTATTATCACAATTTCTAAAATCTTGTTATACACTCAAATAGCTTCACAACAATTGAAGATAGGTATAAACTTTATCATACAAATGTTACTATAAACTCAATGGAAAATATAAAAATTAGAGAAAGACGACCTTTCATTTAATAATCTAAAGCGTAACGCAATATCTTATTTTTTGATAACCCTGTATTGTACGGCTATAGATAAAAATACGTCCCCTAGAAATCAAAATCGACTAGTCCACAAATGGGGGTGCGACCGTTTTGTTGGGCCACCCTGTATATAGTATTCAAGCATCAATTTCATTACTCCGGATTTCAGCGTGTTGTCCTGTTCAAAAAAGAAATAGGTGGGACGTTTTTCACTGTATGCACGTGTCATATTCACTGTTACGAGGGATGTCTTTTAAGTTTTGCATCTGGAAATAAAACAACTCGGTAGGTGGTTTTAAATGACTTTATTGTTTTTCGAAGCATTCTCCACGAAGATTTATACACATCTGCATGCGCTCGAACACCTTGGAACACCCAAACAGCCGACTGTCGTTTATTTTCTGGTTCATAACAGTGAATCCACGGTTAATCACCACTAATAATGCTGTGCACATTTTTTGAGTTTCCTAATGACTTAGCGACACTTAAAAATTCACTGTGTTATTTTGAAACATTGAACTTAAGTTTACTAAAGAGTGAGGTTAAGATTCAGTACTGACTAAAATTGTATCATTTTCGATACAAACGCTTACGTTAAGTTTTTATGTATGCGCCGAATTTCTGTTCAGGTACAGCAAACACGAA